TTACTTCCAGAACATCTCCTTATATGCAAATTTATCACAGTGCTTTTTGAATGTTGGGAATATGTATGAAGCAGCTGAGACAGCATCTGAGGTGTGTTCCATTTGCATTTGTTTTCAACTGTAACAGAGTTAACCAAAAAGAGCAAAGAATAGGTACCAGCCCACTGATTTGAAGCTTTCTTTACAGGTGCTGTCACGAGATCCCGAAAATGAGAAAGCACTTTATCGCAGAGCCCGAGCTCGAATAGGCTGTTGGCAGCTGGATGAGGTGAATTCTTTTTCCAGGCATAGTTTGACCATAGGAATTGGTTTATGCTTGGTTATTGATGACAGTATCAAGTATAAGCGCCAATAGCATGACTGAGCGGATCATGTTACATTTATATAATAACCCTCTACCATTATCACACATACTTTCTAGCTTTCCATTCATTTTTTTATTCCACGCTCTCTATTTTAGGCAGAAGAGGATCTCAAAAAGCTGGCGAAGACGCCTAAGAACGAATCTTTGGTACAGGCGGAAATGGCAATATTGGCACAGAAACGAATTGAGTTAGCTGACAGCAAAAAGAAGACTTACTTGAAGATGTTCAAGTAAACTGGTATTTGAACCATGTTCACTTCACCCAAAATTGATGAATAATTGAATTCAGACTGTTGTTGTGATAGCATCAATTTGAAAGCCGTGTATCTATCAGACTGCCTACGCGCTATTTATTCTTCAAACTCATGATCTCAATCCTCAAATTTTGAAACAAAAGGAATCTGTACTGCACCCTTATTATTCTTTTCTCTCCTTGTCATGTAGACGAATTTGGCCTTAGAAACCCTTTAGTCACCATTTGTTGCCCGGTTATGAGTATTTCTTCCACATATTTCTCGCCTCACAAAAACGCGAGATGACTGCTTCAGGTTTTCGTATCTTTTCTAGAGAAAGTAATCTCTTTTTTTGGTACCTGACATTTTTACTAGCTTTTTACATCAAACTTTTTTTTGCAGCCGGGCATACTGCAAGCTCATACAAAGCGTTGAAAAACCATTTGATCGTTTGATGTGTCAATCAGCTTATGAATGACATCTCTACCAGCCATAGTTCTGCTGTTTGAAGAAATAGGGGAATGTCATCACCCATAAATTCCTATTCGTTCTTTGACTGCGCTCTCATCTTTATCATTGATATGGTAAG